TAGCCTTAGTGACATCACACACATGAAGGTGTGTTTTTTTTTTCTTTGTAGATTTTTCTTTGTAGATGACACTGTGAGTGTTGCATTTTCCATAATTTTCTTTTCTTTGCTGTTTTCTTCATTGTTGTAGATATTAATCTTATCTTTCTGAGGTTCATTATCTAATGAACCTCAGAAAGGTAAGATTAATATCTACAACAATGAAGAACCTGACTCGAGACACTGAGTCAGTTTTTATGAACCACGGATACCAGTAGGTTTCCTATGTTCTCAAAGTCCTCATGATCTCGGTCCCCATGTTCTTTTTAAACCTCCCAAAAAGCTGATTTTGTTTATCTAGACTTGTGACTTCTTCAGTCTCAGCTGACTGCAGTACGGGATCACTAAAGGTTTTCACTTAGGCAGAAGTTGTCCTTCTCTTCTGATTTGCCTGGAGCATTCTTTAAAGCCTTTCCAGCTTTGACAAATGTCCAGCTGGGATAATCACATTTACTTGGGGCCTTTTTGAAATGATTTTCTTCTGCTTCCCTGGCCGCTGTATCTGTGGGGATGGTGTTTGCTCTGTGATTATGGTACACATCAACCTAAATATCCCCCGTTACTGATCTCAAAGTCTAAGAAGGCTAACTTGTTATTTTTCATATGGCTCTGAAGCTACCATGTCCTGGTGAACTTGATGTGTTTGTCCACTGAGACATTCTAACGCACTTTGGCAAGGATTGCCTAAAGCTAGTACCCGAGCACAAGCAAACAGCATGTAAGATGGCTGAATACAGAAACCACCTAGGATTCGGCCTCAGATGCAGACAAAACAGGATTACTTCTAAAAGTCTGCAAATTAGATCTTCAGTTAAGAGCCTCTGAGCTACAAAAGCAACAAAAATACACCAGAAGGCCAGCTGCTCAATGAATGGGTAAGACAAACATTTTTTTAATGATTTCCCCTGGGATTCAATAAAGTATTCTGATTCTGATTCAGATTTTACCATCAACATGCTAAAATCAAAAGGGGAGTAGAGCCGACAAAGACTTACTATGGTTCTAGATGAGAATACCCTTCGAGAGGTGTTTGAATTCACTGAGAAGGCTCGTCTAGCACAGAATGTCCTCAGCGGCCAGAAGAGAGAAGGATGCCACACGGAGGGTGTGGACAAATCAGTGAAAAATTTGTCAATTTCTGACAAAAAATGTTATCAAAATCTTGTCAATTTGACAACTCACACAAGCGGAGAAAAACATCCTTGCAAAAGGGTTGAACTTTGCTGTGATGCCAAGACAAATCCCCCTAGTGGAACTGATCACAGCCACAGAATTAGCAATTCGAAGCAACAATATTACAGATGTGGACGAAAGTTTCGGCTTGTCTCAGCAATGCAAAGCCCCCAGCATCCAACATCAGCACGGAGGAGGGGAAGTAATGACAAAATTATCATCCTACCAGCAGATAAGGGTTGGTGCACGGTTTAGCTAAACTTGAAAGACTATCATGTGAAAATTTTGTCACTACTCACTGTGATAAAAATACTTATAAAACCCTGAAATGAGACCCAGGTAGTGGTTACAGGAAGATGGTGACTGAAGCAGTTGTTTGAAGCAGTTAGAACAGGACGATGCTATTGACCAGACCTCAGACCACAGGCTATACACAGAGTGGAAGCTACACCAAGTCTGTATGGTTTACTCAAGATACACAAACAGGGGGGACCTTTAAGATCAACTGTCTGTCTGATCAACTCAGTCAACTATAGTGTCTCAAAGTTTCTGTCTTTAATCTTCAAGCTGTTTGTGGGCAGCTCTAAACACTACATCCAGAACACCTTGGATTTTGTGGAGAAGGTGAGAGATGTCATTATGTATCCAGATGAAACAATTGTCTTGTATGATGTTACAGCTCTCTCCCCTTGTGTTGAAGTCACTGAAACAGTGGAGGTAGTTCATAAGAGATTACAGGAAGACCCAACCCGAGCAATAGGACCACTCTCAGCACTGACCAAGTGTGTTTGCTGTTGGAACTGTGTCTTCATTGTACACATTTCACATACAATGTTCACTACTACAGGCAGAAACATGGGTATGCCATGAGTTACCCAATTTCATCTATAGTGGCCAACTTTTATATGGAGGAAATGTAAAAGAGGGCTCTGTTATCCTACCCTGGAACACGACAAAGTAATTAGTTCAGGTATGTGGAATACACCTGGGTTACAATCAAATCTCAGGATGTACCATAATTCACTGATTATGTTAACCTCAGTGGACAAACACATCAAGTTCACCATGGAGGATATGAAATGACAGGCTAACCAGCTTAGACTGTGAGATTTCCATCAGTAATAGTGATGGGATTTCCGGCTCTTTTTAGAGATCCGGCTCTTTCGGCTCGGCTCACTAAAAAGAGCCGGCTCTTTCGGCTCCGAACCAGCTCTTCAGGTTGTTTTGTTGCTTTAATTATTTAATCATTAACAATAATATAAAATTTTTGCGGAAAGGGATTTCTTATTTTAAAAAAAGTGGTTTTATTTATATATGTTTATATATGGCCCCTAGAGACAAAGCATATACAAACTCCAAAACACATTTCTAGCGTTTACTGAACTTCCAAAACAGAGCTACCCAGATCACTTAAATTACACAATTGAAAGCATGTGTGTATTGTTTGTGTATTTATAGACAAGCACTCATATTTATTCAAATAATTAAAAAAAAAAAGTTCATTTACCTGTTACTACCACAAACCAAATCCGGTTGTTGATACTTCCTGGCTTGTGTAGCCACTAGGTAACAAAAGCTCAACACTGCGCCCTAGCATCCTGGAGCACTTCTGTTGTCTTTTGTACGTGTTTTGGAGTTTGTACGTGCTTCTGAGTTTTTACGTGTTTTGGAGTTTTTACGCGTTTTGGAGTTTGTACATGCTTTGTCTCTAAGGTCCACCATAAATATACTTTATTTATTCACTCCACATAAAATGTAATAAATAAATCATATAATACAAAAAACAACTATTTACATTTTAAACTTTTAACTATTTAAATTTTCAGCTTTTTCCTTTTAAACAAATTTAACCTGAAACAACACAAAACACTGCAAACCACAACACAATTAAATATAAATTAAAATATTAAAACAAAAAGAAGATGCACATTCTCTGTCATATGGGCCTGCATGATTTCTGAATCCTTTATCATCTGCAACTGAAAATAGCGGATGATTACTATCCCTTTCTTGTTGTCCCTCGCTCTCTTTCTCTCTGGCTCTGTTCCTGTGCTACTGCGAGTGTAACTAACGCCCCTCCCCCCTCTGCCCAGCGCAAAGTACAGGCGCACATGCGGAGTTTAGCGGAAAAAAGGGCGAGAGAGAGGGTGAGAGAAAGAAAAAAAAAACAAACCTCACGGCTCCCAATAAGGAGCCGGCTCGCGTCGTTCACTTCAAAGACCCGGCTCTAAGAGCCATTTCGTTCGCGAACGACCCATCACTAATCAGTAATAAGGGAAATTTAAAAGTTATTGTGTACTGTAATCCATTACATACAGATCAGTACTCATCATCCACTTGAGCACAAACTGAGTGTGATCAGGACACTAGAGCACAGACCAAACACCATCCCCACAGATGCGGTGGCCAGAAGAAGATCATGTCAAGAAGGCCTTGAGTAAATGTGGTGATCCAGGAGAGAAGGACAACTGCTCCCTAAGCGAAAACCTTTAGTGATCAAGTGTCAGGAGTATTGGAACAGCTGAGATGCCTTTTCTCTAAACACCACATCTCTCTCTCTCTGGGGGGCAGCTTTTGCTCTGACTTATGATTGCTGCACTGTTGTGCCAAAGCAGGTGGTCTCATTAATAATATGAATGGAGCTTTGAGTGCAGGTAAGACATCAGAAGGAGTATCCAGAGTGCAGGATCGCCAGTGAAATGAAGGCCAAAGTAGATGGTCTTCAAGTCTGGGAACAAGGATTACTCGAAAAGCACATAGTATGAACTGAAAGCAGGGCGGAGAAGGTGTAAATATACATACAGGGAGACCAAACGCCAAGTGAATAACATCAAAGGCATGTGGAGGGGGATGAAGTTGATTACCGGCCTCAAAGTGATCAGCAGCTGCGGGGGCAGTCTGGACAGAGCCAGTGAACTGAATCTGTTTTTCAACAGGTTCAATAGTGAACCCTCTGTTGTCCCTCCTCAAATAGTATTAATCTTAACACCCCCTCCTCCACTCAACTTGGACGTTCAGAACCCCCCACCCACATTATATCCTAGATTCCTCTTCATACACACATTGCTATGACTGCTAGCCAGATGAGGAGTGGAGTTGCTTCAGCCTCTTTGTGTAGAGCATAGGTGTCAAACTCTGGCCTGCGGGCCAAATTTGGCCTGCAGCCATACCAAATTACTATCAGAGCTGGCCTACTGGTATTATACAGCTAATATATATATTGTTTAGTATTAAGCTTTGCTTGTGCCATATTCAGTTTTTTAGCAAAAT